GATGTGGTTCAGACTGTGTTTAATCATCATAATTGCAGATTCATTCTGACAATGAGGGAAATTCAGATGTCTAAATATGATTTATTTTCATGAGTTAGATTTAGTGCTGAATGCCCCGATGAGCAGGAACTATATGATCTGATTGTCCATTAACAAATTGGATACACAGAAACATGACCACAATCAATGACTGCAGATGCTGATTAAAAACCCTTAGTCAGTAAATATAAATAGTAAATGATTTAATTTATAAAATACACTCCCAATATTGGACAGGCTGGTTCCACTAGATCAGTTATTGGCACACGCAGCAGGGCGTGACCTGAAAATGAGGGAATTCGCCTGCAAGGAATCTGGCCTTGCCATTCTGGAACAGGTTCGTCGTGGTCTGTCGGCAATATCTGCTGGTGTAAAACTTGTTTTAGGAGGAGCAATATTTTCAAATGGCTTTAATGTTTCCTGACCCTTGCTTGTGCCTTGCCTCTTAGTGACCCTGCACATTCCTCTCTGTAATAAGACAGAACCCAGATTTTTACAGAAAAGCAGCAGCTGTACGGGGAATTTGTGAGCTCACAGGCAAGTGTACATCCTGTACACTACATGTATGTGTCCAGTAGAGGGCAGCATCTAGCTGTCACATTTAGACTTGGACATACAGTATACTGTAGATAGAGGAGTTAATTTACCAAGTTCGTGTCCAATGGGATGCTTGATATGTTCTATCAGGACATATTAACTGTTCTATCAGGACATGCCCAGTATAACAGATAACACCACACAATGTAGATGGTACTTTCCGAAACAGTAAAGAATAGTGACAGGATGTAGAGTCAATAAACCTCCCAGTCATGTCTCAATGAGCTGAAGCCCTCCTTTTCCAGGACATTGACCCAGAAAGCAAATCTCTCTGGGCACTTATTTCCTGTCTTCAGACAGGATGAGGTATGGGTTTGCGGTTTTGGGGTGCAGTGTTACATTAACACCGGCAGAAAGAAGAGAAAAATACTGACACATTTTGTAACTCAATCACCACTCAATTCAAACCCTATGAGACGAGAGACTGATAGACATTCATAATCAATGGTAAAGGAACAGGGGTGCCAAGATTCAGTAGCAATTGTGAGTTTTTAACTTTCATTTTCTTTTCTTAATAGGTATTTAGTAGTTTGTCAAATTCTAATTATAGCAAAACGAGCTAACAACATGGAGATGTAGGCATAGGACAATTAATACCTTGGCATGTATTGACAGGGCTGACTGCAGATCAAATAAGAAGAAGATGAGAAAGAAGAAGATTTTTGTGGCACAGTCACAACCCCCCTCACTCACCAACAATGAGCCAGGGAAACAGCTGTGAGAATGAAGTTCGGATGGGGGAGGGTTAGAAAAAATTAGTTCAAAGTTGTAAGTAGGGGAGCATTAGAATCTGACTCCTCCAGAAGTAATGTGAAATATTAGATATTATTTCAGTACCTCAGCAAATTCTAATAATGGCAAAACACAGTGTCAAATATAAAGGGAAAGCGTGCTTAATACTTTAACATTAACTTGCCTGATTGAGGAATCGACTTCACTGGTCAAAGATCATTGTTGGTGCACCCCCCCGAGGCGCTGAGACAGATTTGGAAAACAAAACCAAGAGCAAGCTGCAGCTAAGAGCTAAGCTAATAGCAGTTTCATAGAGTGCATGATGCAGGGTTGAGCTTGATTGAATGAGAAGACTCTGATATGCCCTGAATGAGAAACGTGTACAATGCAGGACCTGCCAGAGGCTTCAACTCCATGGACAACACTGTGGCTTCCCAGAAGAGTAGCTTGGCAGTAAGAAGAGCATTTTTATTTGCTGACGTTTACTAGATGGAAAGGATGAGGATGGATTCTGAGAAGAAAAGAGAGAGAGAGGAATTTATGTGCCATGTGCACATGTACTTTGGGATTTTTCATTCGCACCACTTACTTGCAATTGTTATTCTAATGCATTCTCCTTTGGGACACAGTGCAATAGACAACACTTTCTCAGACTGTGCACAGTACATTACTAAACAGTAAATAATAAACAATGACGGTAAAACACAACATTTAACAGGTAGTTCAGAGCAATAAATACACAAACACACAGGTCAATTACTACTATGTGGTAGCCAGGTAAATCAGAACTCCCAAAAGAAAGTGTGTGACATACGTATGCGGATTGGAAGCTTTGGGAAGGGGAAAAATCGAGGGCCAATGCCGCACCAGTTGGACACCAACCAAAGGGGAAGTGGCGGGGGAAGTAGCCCCAGTGAGAAAACGAGAGAGACTAAAGACATCGTACAGCAGTGCTACTGTGCCTCTTTGTACAATTGTTCTCAAAACAAGACACTGTCATCTCCCTGGCTGCTTGGATAATGGCAATTTTGTGTCTCTTTGTCAGGTCTCTCTCTGTCACTCAAACTGTGGCTCTCCTACAGTTCCCTGATGTGTTGTGTCTATTATTCTGGTCCCAGCTACCTCACACAACTACTTATAAATAGTACACATTGAACTAGAGAGAACAGTTGTCTAGTAATGGCATGATGGTAATGGCAAACCTTCACATCCTCTTCAATTCTACATCTTTAAATGTGAAAACAAGCCTTTAATTTGCATCCATCAGACACAATTGTGATCCTGTTTCCTCCCACAGTCCAAAGACATGACTGGCTTCTTGGGAAATTGGCCCTGATGTGAATCTGTGTTTGTGTGTGTGCACCCTGCCATGGACTGGTGTCCCTTCCAGAGTGTATCCTGCCTTGCGCCCATTGCTTACTGGGATAAGCTCCGGCTCACTCGTGATCCTGAACTAGAAGATGTGGTTTAGAAAATGGACGGATTGAAAATTAGTTCTAGTGTGAGTGTGTGCATGTATTCGTTTGCCCTGTGATAGTCTGGCTTTCTGCACCCCACAGAAAACGTTCTGGCTCCCCTGATGCCCTAATTTGGATAAAGCAGTTAGAAAATGGATGGATGGAGAAAAATGAGCTTTATTTATTTTTAGTTTTGCTTTTATTAACTAAAGTAAATCACCCTGGCACACGTACATTTGATAGTTCTGTTGCCCCTCAGAAAATTCTATAATTTAAACAACTAAGAAACTGAGTATATTGCACAGGAAGAAAAATATTTAACAGAACAGTCTGAGATCACATTTAAAAGCAGTTCAAAAGTTTAATTTTGCTAAATATAAACAGTTACCGGATAGATAGGGAAATTGTCATTTCACATTATCTTTGATTACGTGTTCTAATGTGTTCAGTCATAATGAAACTAAAACCTGCTGCAATAATGTGTTTCATAGTCCTGATATTATTCATCTCTTGTTGATTCATCCTTGTTGAGGTACAGGTACAGATCGACGCTGTGCACTCATGCCTGTGGAGCAAGTGGATCATCAGCAACTGGAACGGCTCCAGCATGGACAGCACCAATGGAGGAGTGGGCGGGGGGAAGAGATAGCAGAGATGGTCAGAGGGGCTGAGTTCCTGCCCCCCTCGTTCCCCCTCGTTGGTACAGGGGCTGAAGAACGGGTAGAGCTTCTCCCTGAAGGTGTCGTAAAAGGTGAACATATGGGACCTGGCCTCCACATTGTAGAAGGAGACCTGCCCCTCCTCGTAATCCACGTACACCCCCACCTTGCGGGGCTTCTGGGCCAGCCGGAGGTCAACAGGGACAGTGGAATTTGCTGTGTACGTCCCACCCCTCAGCCACACAGTCCAGAGGCCAGCCTCAGGGCACAGTGTGATCTGCCCCTTTCTATCGCTGGACTCTCTGGCGACTCCTAAAGTCCAGCTGGTCTTCTGCCCCACCTCCACCTCCCAGTAGTGTCTCCCTGAGGTGAAGCCCTCGGCGCCCAGGACATTGACACAACAATAAAATCTCTCTGGATTGTCAGGGAGATCCTGTCGTGTGTCACCATGTCTGACTTTTTTGCCACCGTTGTACAGGACGAGGTGGGGATGGGCTGTTTCGGCGTCCAGAGTCACATCAACTGGCAAAGAAAGTGGCAAAGAAAAATATTGATCTCATTCAGCATATGAGCACATGAAATCTTTCATTTTTTTAACTTAAATTGAACTGTGTAAAGTGAGTGAGGAGATTAAACAGATTTTTATAATTGGGGAGTGATGAATATCATCGAGAAATGGAGCACAAAATTATCTCACCTTTTACTAAGAAAGGGATGTAACTGCAGGAATGAATAATCGTGCATGTTGTGCACCTTGAACTGGCCGCTAATGACCAATTCACCATGTGCTAAATACTCTTTGCATTTATTTCCACAGTGAACAGATTCTCCACCCCAACATGAATAAAATGCCTATAGTGATGGCGGCAGGGCTGATCCCAGAGTAAGAAGTGTTCACAACATTGTTAAAGACACATGTACGCCATGCTCTGTTTACATGACCGTTTATTTCTCTTTGAGCAGATGTAAGCCTCCCATCACACCTGCTTGCCTTAATTTCTTTGAGGATTTCTTCTTGAAAGGAGTGGGATTTCTTTTCCCGTCTTATTATTCAAAGTGTGCTGGAATCAAATAAAGGCCGATCAAGAATGAAAACCAATGCCGTGGTCAAGAATAAAACATAAAAAAATGTTTAAAAAGTAACAAGTGTTTTGGGGCCAGTAGCCATGAATTCCAATTTATTCCAACTTCAGATTGTGTTTTTCCACGTGAATAAAGTGTAACAGTTCAACTAACGTGTTCCCAATCAGAGTTCTTGTTGGAAATCATATTTTCATAACTTATCTAAGCACCTGCTTCATTAACTTTCATGAAATGTTTCCAAATCTTCAGAAACTGAGAATTGAACAGTGATGTATTAAAACTGCTGTAATCAAACGCCAGAGCTGTGAGGCAGTGAG